TTATTTTATTTTTTTTGGTCAGATAACATCAGTTTCGATAAATATGTCACTTCCAAGTTACCAAACAAAAGACAGTACTATGTACTTTCAAATGAAATGACATCAAAAAATGCATATACAGTAACCAATTATTCATCATCAATCAAGTTAAATCCAGAATGTCATAAATTAAAAACGAAGACGAGAAATTTATCCCCTATCCCATTGATTGATTTGACAGAAGATGTAGAAAATATACATCAAGTCAACAATGAAAATCTTATTGTTGGTATCTCAAATGGTAATCAAAAAATAATATCAATTTTACATTTCAAATACTATGTTGTATATATTTTTAAAATTCATTGATATTTTCTTCTACGCTTTTATTTTACAGAATATTTGGATCATGGTGATCAAGATGTTGTATGTCAAACATGTCATGCAAAGTTATGGAGAAATGAATCCATTAGAGGTAAAGAAAAGGGGATTATCATCTGCGTATTTCATTACACACACCGGTAATGCATCATCCCCGTATGTCCAACAAGAATCATGCACCAAAAATAAGGGTTTTCAAAAAACTCCATTTCTAATTAAATACTTATGATTTAGTTTGTAATTAAATACTTACAAATCAAAAAGTTTTTGAAAAATTCAATATTACAATTCATAAGTTGTCAAAATTAATGAAATTTTATTTTATTATTTAATTAATTTTAAAATTCAATTAAAATTCAACACCCGTGGATTCCACGGGTTTTAACCTAGTTTTATATAAACGGAAGACTAACAAGTAACCACGAAATATAAACTTTTCAAAAGTTCAAAAAGATAAAAGAACTAAATTTGATATTGCGAAAAACTACAAAGACAAAACTATTTTCGTAGATTTGTCTATTTTAATTGAATGGAGTTTTATTTTTTCCTTTTTTACCCTATTATTATTTTTGTTCCGTTACGGTCTCCACCTTTCTTCTTTGGTTAGGGTTTTCTGTAAGCGACGATCAACCGGAAAGATTATGACGAGAACCAAAGAAACCAGAAGAAAGCGGAAACGTCATGATTCTCCACCACGCCCCTCGCGTGATCGGAGCAGCCAAAAGGCCGATCATTCACCATATTCAGCCTCACACCGTCCCCCGATAAGTTCGGAGCCGAATCACCATCGGATCAACCAACAAGAACCAACGGGTAAGCGTCCCACTTTCACTTCGTACATCGACACCCCTAATTTGCCCGTTAAAGTGAAGTTGCTATGTGAAATCATTGCACAGACGCCGCCACTAGAAGTAGATAGGGTTTTAGACGATGCTGGAATTAGGGTTTCTACAGACATTGTTGAAGATGTCCTCAAGTTATCATATGCACACCCATCCGCCGCCGGTAAGTTTTTCCGGTGGTCGGGATATCAGTTGCACGATAGACATAGTCCTTACGCTTGGAATTTAATCGTCGATATGTTAGGAAAGAATGGGTCATTCGACGCCATGTGGAAGGCAATCGAGTCTATGCATAAAGAAGGGTTACTTTCTCTCGCCACATTCGGCTCTGTTTTTGGTAGTTATGTCATAGCTGATAAGGTGAAAGGAGCCTTCAAGACATTCTATGAAATGGAACACTATGGCTGTGTACGCGATATTGTAGCTTTGAACTCGCTTCTCAGTGCCATTTGTAGAGATGGAAAAACCATAGACGCCAAGGAGTTTTTGCAGGTTGCCAAGGCTGAAATTAGACCAGATGCTGATACATATGCGATCTTGTTAGAGGGATGGGAGAATGAACAAGATGCAGTTAACGCTAGACAAACTTTTGAAGAAATGGTTGATGAAATCGGGTGGGAACCCAACAATTTCCCTGCGTATGATTCTCTTTTAAACACTTTACTCAAGGGTTCTGATGGGTTAAAAGAGGCTATGAAGTTCTTTGAATCTTTAAAGGATAGAAGGTGCTATCCAGGTATGAGATTTTTCAAAGCTGCATTAAATGAGTGTGTGAAAAAGGGCGATATGAAGTCTGCTATTGTGCTATGGGGTGTAGTAAAGTTGCAAGAAGGTTGCAAACCAGACACTGAAATGTACAATTTGATGATTTCTGTATATTTGAATCTTGAAGATGATGAGCTAGCTGGAAGAATTTTAGATGACATGGTTTTGAATGGGGTATTCCCGGATTCTCAAAGTTATAATCTTTTATTTCAGTTCTTGATTAACACAAATAAAGTTCAAGAATCTGAATTGGTGTTTACTGAGATGATTAAAAACGAATTTGTCCCAACTCATGACAATTGTTGTATGGCAGTTAGGGTTTTTGTAGAGGGTGGAGACCCTTATACTGCTATAAAAGTTTGGAAATGTGCAGTTGAAAATTACGAAACTGACCTTGAGGAAACAGGGAATATTTTGGTTAGTGGTTTACGTGATCATAATTGGCTTCCTGAAGCAGCAAAGTATGCAGAAGATATTATTGACAGAGGGATTAAGTTGACTTCTGCCACATTGTCAAAGGTAAGGCAAGGTCTTGCAAAAGCTGGAAAAGGACCTGTTTATGATGCTCTTTGGAAGAAGTGGAGTCTTCATCAGGTTAGTTTTTAGACAAGTTTTATTGCTACAATCGCTAGTATCTGCTTTCTGCTTTACTGACATTTTGTTGAAATTTGTGCAGATTGAGAATCCAAGTACATCCCAAAAGGCGTGTAGTGAACAGGTGAATAATCATGAGGGTGAGGACATAAATTTGGGGAATAGTGAGCATGAGAAGATAAATTTGGAGAAGAGAAAGTTGGAAGAGGCGAAGAATGAGAACCCAAAAAGGAGCAAAAATGCGTGTCAACAATGTAACAATTTCCACAAGGGAGAATGCAAATTAGGGCAAAAATCATGTTACAAGTGTGGGAAGCGTGGTCATAAAAGTAGTGATTGCATGGAAGAAGCGAGATTATGTTTTGTGTGTAATTCACCTAACCATGTGAAAGCCAATTGTCCGCAAGATAAAAAAAATGGGAAAAACACTGAGACTGTGACTGTGACTGAGTCAAAGGGGTGTGCGAAATGCAAGCGGGCCCACAAGGGAGAATGCTTGGTAGGACAAAGGATGTGTTTCAAGTGTGGGGAGAAGGATCATATTAGTAGGGATTGCAAAGCAAAATTATGTTTTGTTTGCAAATCCCCTGACCATGTAAAAGCGGATTGTCCCCAAGATGGAAACAAGAACACGGGTAAATAAATGAGTGTAAGATGGTTGCAAACCCGGGACAAAAAAAAAATGTATAAATGTATGATTTATTTGTAATTTTTATGTTAGCTATTAATTATTATGTTGATGTAGTGGTAAATATGTTAGATGAAATGTTTTTTTTTAACCAGAAAGATGATGTTCACCCTTTTAACGTTAGAATACTTGTGCATGATGGCAGATGTATTTAACTTAAAATCCTACTTTGGGAACTATTGCATGTTTATGTTGTACGAAAATTTTAAATTTGGTGGCAAAATATTCAAAATAACTGTGGGAAGTATGGCGATAGAGTTTATTAAAAACCCAGGGATTGTATTCCCCTTTTGATAATTTTTATTTCATTTTGATCTTGGTCATTGGTAATTTCTTTTTCTTTTTAGACATTCCAAATACTTTTAGTCATTATAAATAATGTTTTTATATTATAGGATAACATTTTTTTCCATTGGTTTAGTTTTTTCATTTACTTTTGGAAAAAGATTTGATATCGATGATGGTGTGTTAACTTTTTATTTTATTATGGCAAACTGGTGAAAGCACTCACTTAATTTTCTTGAATAATAATGATTGTCTATATCAACAAAATAATTTTGTAATATTTAGAGGTAGGAATAGAATATACATACTTGACATTTGACAACTATTTCACGTGTTAAGTTTCTAACCGACTTAACACATTTTTTCCATCATATTAAAACAATATCCTTATTAAAACCTTAAAACAAAGTTTAAAAATTTTAAGTATTTTTTGTTGTTGGTTGCTGAAAATAAATAAAACACAAATTTAGTTTTCTTTCTGTATAGTGTTCATGGAATTCTGCAAATGAATTAACATTCTTAATTATAAGTGAGTTATTGATAAACAAAAGCTGGAATAGCTCAGTTGGTTAGAGCGTGTGGCTGTTAACCACAAGGTCGGAGGTTCGACCCCTCCTTCTAGCGATATTTTTTTGCCGGTTTTCTTTGATGATTTTTTTTTTTTAAATTCTATAAAATTATATTTTTACCCGGTTTAAAACTTTGAATGTAGTAAACTCGTATCAGATAATCACCAGACGTCCCCTCATAAAATTAATATATAATTAACATAAATAAATGTAATATTTATTTGAAGTTTCTTCATAAATCATCATAGAAAGTTTTATCCTAATAACTGCCCGTTTTAGACATTTAGTAGTCAAAATAATACAATTTATATAAACTTAGAGTTAATCAATTAAAAAGGCAACACTATCTCATTATCTGTTTGTCTTAAAGAAATTTGAGAGTAAGATGATAAACTAATTTTATTTTAGAAGTAAAAAGCCAATTCAAGATAATTGTGTAAGAAGTGAAAACAGCTCACTTTGCCTGTTTTGTTTGTGCGATGAGGAAGAAGTTGATTGTCTCTTATATAATTGGCGGTATGTTAAAACCATTTGGGGGGTGGTTTTGCTTGTGGTATGGTTTGCTTAATATGGCCCGGACTTAAAGAGGAAGTTGTTTTTGGCCTTGTCTTACTTTGTTCTGTAGATGGTTTGAATTGAAATAATGTTATTTTCAAAAACTTGAGGTGCAATCTTGTGAAGACGGTGGATGATATTCAATATATAATTTTTTCTAACGTCTCACTAGTTTTTTAATGATCTTTCGTTCTAAAGAAAAGTAAATCAGTGAAAAAAGAAAAGTAGAACATATTTTTTATGTCATAATTTAATTTGAGAATTATAATAGCAAGATTTAAATTTGAAGATTTATATATGAAAAATAATCTTTTTATATGATAAAAAAATAATCAACAATAAGACGATAAAACATATTTTATGCGTAAATTTCTATAAGAATGACATATTTAAATTATATATGTATAAAACCTTTAAGTTTAAAAAACACATGTTGGATCTTAGCTTTTTGAAATCTAATATATTTTGTTTAAAATAAAAATTAAAAATTTATGCTGGAAACTGATAGCTGTTAGTTAGCAGTTAATAACCGAAAGTTGTAACTTTTATTATGTAAAAATGTTTGACAAAAATAGTTGTTACTTTTTATATGTATAAAATTAGTTACAAACTAAAAGTAAAAAGCTCTGAAAAACCGAAAGTCTTTTTTTTTTTTTTTTGGAGCTTTTTCTTAAAAGGTAATAACTAAAAGCTTTTAAAAGCGGTGTCTCAAACACATTCTAAAACATTTTGTTGTAACTTGTAAGATATATATTAGTATGGAATAAAAGTAGCAATTTTAACAATACAAATATTTTACATTCACTATGTTTCAAGAAAATATTTTACTTTTTATATGTATAAAATAGGGATGTGCATATGGACCGGGGAAACGACCGGAACCGGTCCCGGAACCGGAACCCGATGGAACCGGTCGGGCCGGGACCGGTACTATAATTTTGTCAATTTTTGGAACCGGGACCCGGTAAGAACCGGTCGTTGGAACCGGCCCAAAACCGGGAACCGGACCGGATAACTCACTCAAATTTTTAAAGTTGTATAACTGACTCAATTTAACTTTTTTTTTGACCTGAATCTTTTTCCTACATATAGATTATGATTTGTAGTTAAGTTTAGACTATAAAAACGTTTGATTTGGTTAAAAATTGAATGAGTTACAAGCCCCGCAAAGAAGGATGTCAAATCAGAATTTTTTTTATGTTTCAGCAATTAAATGTAATCTGACTTTGTTGTTCAAATGTACATAACTCACTCAATTTAACTTTTTTTGACCTGAATCTTTTTCCTACATGTATATTATGATTTGTAGTTAAGTTTAGACTATAAAAACTCTTGATTTGGTTAAAATTTGTATGAGTTACAAGCCCCGCAAAGAAGGATGTCAAATCAGAATTTTTTTTATGTTTTAGCAATAAAATGTAATCTGACTTTGTTGTTCAAATGTACATAACTCACTCAATTTAACTTTTTTTGACCTGAATCTTTTTCCTACATGTAGATTAGGATTTTTAGTTAAGTTTAGACTATAAAAACGTTTGATTTGGTTAGAAATTGAATGAGTTACAAGCCCCTCAAAGAAGGGTGTCAAATCAGAATTTTTTTATGTTACAACAATTAAATGTAATCTGACTTTGTTGTTCAAATG